TCCGGCTCCCGGCGGCCCAACGCGCGGGCCCAGGCCCACTCGGCTCCCGCACTTCGCGCCCGCGGCTCCTCGCTCAGGCCTCCGCGGCCCTCGCCCCGCTCCCGGCGCCGCGCATGGGGACGCGGCCCGCCGCGCGCCGCTGAGCTCCGCGGCCTGGTCACCCTGCCTCGGGGCCCGGCCGTCCCGCTTCAGGAAGCGCCGTCCCGCGCCATGGCGCACTCCCCGGTGCAGCCGGGCCTGCCGGGCATGCAGGTAGGCGGGGGCGGAAGCGCGGTTCGGCGTCGTCAACTCCGACCCCCCCCCCCTTCCGGGGTCGCGGCCCCCTAACTCTGCGCCTCCCTGGCCCCGGCTCTTGGGTGTGCGCGTGGAGGGCCGAGCGCAGGGCCGCGGGGTCCGAAGTGGGGTGTCCCCTGTGCCCGAACTGCTTCGAGCCGCAGTCCGGCGTCGGCCCCCCCGGGGGCGGGATGTGAGAAACGCCCTTGGAGGCCCAGCGGGGTCCCTGAGCCCGGCTCTCCCGACTTCCAAGTCTTCCGACCCAAGGGCCCCACTGGGGCGCGGGGCAGGGAGCGCCCCGAGAGTCCCGGGCCCCACTGGGCGGTGCAGGAGGGTGACCACGAGTCCACTTGAGCACTTCGTCTCTGAGCCTTTGCTGTGGTGTGGGCCAAGGGGAGAGTGCGAGCCCTTAAACCCCCGGGAGGGGGAATCCAGGGGATCCACGCGTGCTCGCGAGCCCCGAGCCCAGGCCCACCTAGCCGGAGCCGGGACCCTGACTTTCACTTTGAGACTGGGCGGCCCCGAGAGGAGTCCTTACATCCAGATCTCTCCATCCATACTTGGTGGCATCGTGGCCTACCAGTGACTTACTGGGAGGATGGCAAGAGTTGACTCTCAGATTTACAGGAATGCGTTAAAGTTTTTCTCCATTTGGGGACTGGTTTTGGCCCTTTGAAAAATAAAACCACCATCCCTGTATGTTTGTAAACATATATGGTGGCCAGATGCTTGGGGTTAAAATTGCACGGTGCAGTTAGGATATACCATTAAAGATTTGGTCTCTCAAGCAGGGTAGCTAAGCCAGTGAACAGAAGGGCTTTAAGAAAACAACCCAGAATATCCAAGTGGATTATTTGTTATTTTATAGTTAGCAATAGGGTCTTTGCTTCTGTCCCCAGGGCTGAGAAGAAAAGCGCCCAAACTTTGGCTTTTTGAAGCCGGGATCTGCCCCCTCTTCAAGAACAGTTTCCTCTCCTCTCTTTTTAAACCATAAAAAGAAAACTGGATTTCATTGGTCAGGTTTGAACTCTAGAAAAATAGGAACTCAAAAGTTACTACTTTAATGGCAGGTAGAATTTTAGTCCAAGTTTTTTGTTTGTTTTCAAGGCATAATAAAAGTACCAAGAGCATGAATGGGAAGATGCTTGAAAAAAAATATATAGGTAGCTTTTAAACTTGAACCGCACCTGAAGAGCTTTACCTTTAAGTTTCTACTGACCTCTAGGTAAAAATCAGCTGTGGGTTCTTGGTATCTCTTGCTTTTTTGAATATAGAGGTGTGAAGGTCAGGGTAAACTGGGTGGAACAGACGTTTACCAGTGGAGCAAGAAGGACCTTTTGTAAGGATTAAAAAAAAAACCCAAACAACTTTATCAATACAGTATTTCCTTTAGATGACTTTTCCAACCTGTTAATTAGGTTGTAATCCAGTAGGTGTGTCCCCCATCGGTGCCGGGCCTTTGTAGAAAGCTAATCAGTTTGAAAAGGTTAGAAGTTAGTACCAGATGGTCACCAGGTGGTAGCTGCTCCTACCCCCACGTTTGGGCCAAAATTCTTAGTCTTAGGAAAAGAAGATAAATTTTCTTTAATAACTTTGCCTTTCGAAAAAGAGTATATTTCCTAGGTGGTTATTACAAGAGAGCTGTTTTTATATTTTGCTTTCTCAAACTATAAAAATGATACATTTTTCTCAGTGGAAAAGACCAGTTTCTTGGCCGTTAGTTCTAGAGGTACTGCAAGGGGCTTCTGCCAGTCATTCTTGTAGTTATTCACGTCTACATACTAAGTTTTTGTTGTGCGGTTTGGGGAGGAACATTCCTTTCCTCTCCCTTCCCCCAGAAAAGAAAAACAAGCACATTTATTTCAACTTGGAATTAGCAGCTCCTGCTGCCCTGGGAGACTTTCCTGGGCACTGTTGCTGAGAATTGAATTAAAGGCACACCTGGCCTTGAGAGTTGGCGGGCCTGGAGAACCGCGTCCTTTTCCTGTGAGGGTCTCACGGCCTCTGGCAGCCTCATTTCTTGACCAGGGCTTACGAGGAGCTGGCTTAAAAATTTGGAGAGAGTGAATTCAAGTGGTCTAGGCACAAGTAATTACAAAATAATCTAAATGAAGGAACATTTTAGCATGAAGGCCATTTTTCATGTCTTGTAAATCTTTTTTATGCTTCTTGATTCTTACTGGTACCATGGAGGCATAGATATTATTTATGCCATTTTTTTAGCCTTGGGAACCAATGGAAGCTAGTTGAGCAGGACCAAGGTAATGTAGTGTATTTCTTGTGATTGGAAACCAGGTTTTTCCTGCCTTGAAGACCATATTCCTACTCACCATTCCGCATTGTTTTTCGTTGTTACTTTTGCAAATATTACAGTTGATTTCATTCCAGATTGTATTTGTTGAAGAAATTTGAAGTACAAGATCAATATTTTATTCAGTCACTGGTCATTATTGAATGGTCAGGTGTGAGGTTCGGGGCCTGGATGCCGGCTGTGTCCGAATGAGTTCCCATTTTTAATGTTTAATGAAGGTCCCTGAGACCTTTTCCTTTTTCATTCCTCACACCAGAGTTTTATATCATCATAGAGGGGAAAAGTAGAAATCATGAACTGAGTCTAGTAACTGAATAAAAGTGAATTCAGCTGATTTGTGGCTCTAAATGCTCTTCCTTATTCAAAGTTGTTTTACTCAATTCAGGTTAAAAGAAAAGCAAGCTTCGGTCAGAGGCAGGAGGACTCATCAGCGTTGAGTTTGCATGAATTGTGATTTAAAAGGAATTAGATTTTGGTTTATTAATTTCCATTACAGAATTTTATCAGTGATCTTTTTTTGTATATGTGTGGGATCAGGCATTGAACTCAGGACCTTGTGCTTTCGAGGCAGGTGGCGGGACCACTGAGCTAAATCCCTGGCCCTATCAGGGATCTTTCAAATTTTCTGGACTGTGACCCTTGTAAGAAAATTTACATGTAGGGCTGGGGATTTAGCTCAGTGGTTCTGCCTCCTGCCTTGCAAGCGCAAGTCCTGAGTTCGATCCCTCATACTTAAAAAAAAAAGAAAAAATTTACATCAAGACCAGAAACAAAAGTTTTAAAAGACAGTCCTGACCCTTACTACTTGGGATGTATTGTTGTGATATATTTTATTTAAAAAGAGGAGGTGGTTTTAACATTGAATTGACTTCGCAGCTCACTGGTTGGTTCATGGCTCCCAATTTGAAAAATATGCACTTAATCAGATAAGGAACATGTGTAGCATGCCTGAGTTAATTGAGCCTGTTTCGAGGCTATACATTTACGGCTGAAATTGTAAGTACAGTTTGAGGAATAGCTGAAAACCTTGCAGAGTCTGGTCCTTGACATCAGCTGGTCTCCTGCCTTCCCCTGACCCTTGGCTGGCATCTGGGAGAAGCGGACCTTCGCTGAGGCCCCAGCCCTGAGATGAGCAGGGTGTGGAAGGCTGGAGATGAAGGCTGAACTGAACGGCAGCTGCATTTAATTGTGGCTTAACAGTTGTACACTTTTTTTGCCTTTTTCCTCATGTGTCCCATTTCCATAGTTTTATTTCTGCTGCTTCCGTGGAAGATGCCTACCCACATTCACCTTACTGCCAGAGGCATCCCTGGGGGTCCCCAAGTGTGGCCATCAGCAGAGCTGTGAGATCCAGATTCTGAGAGCACCTTGAGAGGCTGAACTGTAGGAGGAGGCCTAGTGCCTTTTGTTATATTAGTATTGTGTGGCACGTAATGTTTACACTCCTTGTACAGCGCCTATAGCATGCAGAGCACATCTTAATTCCGGTTTTCATCTCCCTCCCCTTCCCTCTAGCTCTTGATACTCTTCCTTTTTTGTTTGTTTTTGCACATGTTTGCAGTACACAATGTTTACATTCCTGTGGCAGTTGGTACATGTATATGAAACATCTTAATTCTTTTTTCATCTCCTGTCCCTCCCCAGCCTCCTGCATCTCTTGATTCCTTACACCTTCGAGAAGGATCTATCTCCCTATTTCCTATTATCTGCCCCTTGTCTGCTCCTTAAATATACCTTGGGTGTCTCATGTAAGAGAAACTATGTGATATTTAATGAAGCTCATGTGTCTGATTTGTTCACTTAACATTATGGTCTTCTAGGTGCATCCATTTTCCTACAGATGACTCAGGTGTATCTTTATGGCAGAGTAGTACTCCACTGCATGTAAATTGTAGATTTTCTTTATGCATTCAGCTGCTGATGGAGATGGACGTGTGGCCCTCTAGCAGGCCTGGTGTTTTACAGCAGGCCCCAGGCAGGGGAGCCTGCGGAGGATGTTACGTCCTTGTCCTTGAGAGGTCAGTGACCTGGTGTGGGGCAAGTCCCTGGGGAAGGTCTTGGTGACCCAGGAGTGTAATCATAGTCCAGCGGCTGGAAAGCAGGAGGCTGTCTAGGAGGGCTGGGCTGCATCCTAGAGCGGACCGTCCTGGATGCAGGAGGCAGGCACAGCTTTGAGCAGATGAGCGTGGAGGGCTTTGGGCTGCCAACCTTCTCAGGTACAGGTGGTGGGTAAGGCGTGCAGGTGCTCCCAGCATCCTGTACCCTCTTGGAAGGTTTTGGGCACTTGAGGGGAGAGGATGCCCGCGGTGGGAGAAGGTGGGGAGCTCAGGCTTCTCGGGGAGTGCCACGGTGGACTTGTTAGAGGGGTCACCCAGACATTGGCAATCGAGGGCAGCGAGCAGTTTCTCACAGTCTTTGCATGCCCAGCCCTCGAGCTTCCTGGCTGTTCCCTGCTGCCCTGTGTTGCCAAGAGTAGTGAGAGAAATAGAGGCACACTACCCTGAGACCGTCAGTTCCTTAAGTTTTTTTTTTTAATCTTATGTCAGTGCTTCATGTTCCTTTATCAGCAAAATGTAGTAATGGTAAGAATTAGTTTTGCTTCAAAGTTGGTTTTTTTCCTCCCCGGTAGGGTGGGGATCAGAAGATTAAAAAAATTAAATAGCTTTGG